AAAAACAATTTGGTACGTGGCTCCTTGGTAAGAGAAAAGTGTTCAAGCTCATGCATATTCCAAAATCTTCTGTCCGTTTGGAGTAGCAACGTGTCACAGAGTCACAGAATCACAGAATTGTAGGGGTTGGAAGGGACCTCCAGACATCATCGAGTCCAACCCCCCTGCCAAAGCAGGTTCCCTACAGCAGGTCGCACAGGTCGGCATCCAGGCAGGTCTTGAACATCTCCAGAGTGTCTGTTGAGGAGAAGACACAGCCATAAGGACTATTGCTTCTTATGGTAATTTATTTAAGTGTCCCCTTTGTCCATGTATCTGCTGGGGTCCTTCACTTTTGTTCTGCTGGATGCTGTAAGACATCTCAGTCTGTGTGAACCCAGTTGTGCCTTAAAGCACAACTGCTATGAAGAGTCAACTGCTTCAGTTTAACATAATTCCTCCAAGAAGAGGAAAACAACAATAATGAGAAAGGTTTGGAATTGCTGATAAATCTTATTGTAAAATCCCTTTGCTTTTTTGAAAGGGTTTTTCTTTCTAAAATCTAAGCTTGCTTCTGTGTCAATTTAGACGAAAACTATTGTTAATGAGAGACATCACAGAGCTATGTGGCTTTCTAACTTAACAACAACCCCTTCCCACCCTGGTTGAAACAACAAATAAAGTATCTGATTGAAAATGCCCTTTTTCCTTCTCTAGTTTTATAAACAAAGCAGCTAAGGAGAAACTGATTCCTTATTTCAGAACTGCTGTCGAGCTTATTATCTTTTAGCCAATGAAAACAAATAAAAGAAGAGTACTAGTATATCCAGAGTGTTCTTAATGGGATGCAGTTTCCTTAGGTTATGCAGCAGACTGGTTGTGCAGATGAAAAGCAGCAATCAGGAGCAATCATCTTCTTTCTGCAAGTAAAACTATTTCTTTTATAAGCTTATTTGTTAAGAAAAAAACACTGAACCATAGAATCACCGAAGTTGGAAAAGACCTCCAAGATCATCCAGTCCAACCATCCACCTACCACCAATATTTCTCCACTAAACCACGTCCCTCAGTATATCTAAATGTTTCTGGAACACGTCTTGGGATGGTGACCACCACCTCCCTGTGCAGCCCATTCTGCTCTTTTGGAGCAGAAATTGTTCCTAACAACCAACCTGATACTGCATTGATCTGTCCGATAGGCTTTGGTGTTTGATTTTAAAGATTAAGGTTTCTACAGCTATGTCCTGAATGGATGAATGATTGATTAAAGCACGGGCTTTGGTTCTAATTTGGTTTTCAGCACCTCCTGCAATACTGAATTTGGTGAATGTGACACAATTCAAGGCAGTGTCCTCGATAGTGAACGCACCCTGAGGCAGGACTGACAGATACACCAGCAAAACACATGTCTGCATTTTGTGTGGTCGTATCTCAAATCATGGAGGCACTCTGGAGGAATATTACACTCCTTTACAAAATTGGCAGCGGCATTCTAAGGAAAAGTTCTAAAAACTGTGATCTGAGACCTTTGTATTTCAAGGGAGCTCCCAGATACCAACAGAAAACTGAGCTTCTTTGAAGTACCTCAGGTACAGCGATGGAATCTTTGGAGCCCCAATCCACTTATCACTTCTGTTAAAACTTGGCTTACACACGTGTCATTTTCCCAAGCTCTTCGACTTTCCTCTGATTTTTAAAGTGACCTTTTCCTGTCATTCCAAATTACCCTGTTCCACGCGTAAACCACAGAAACAAAACAGCAATCTGCCTCCAAAAAGTCAAGAACTGGAAACAGGCGCAAGCTTTCATCTTTGAACTCCCTGGGAACAAACCACACAGTGGCTGTACAGATTTGCTCACGGGTCTGTCATCAGATCTCAGACTGCTCCTAGATTTGACAATACAATAGGGACAGATACGTACAAAAACAACTCCAGCAGCTTCATCAACTCCAGTGTGAGGTCTACGCAAGGTGGCCTTCAGATGGACAAGAAACTTCATGTGTACAGGTCCACCTTGCACAAAATTCCTTAAAAACACTTGATTGCCAATGATTGCCCAGGTTTTGATCAGGATGATGCAATTCATTTACAGGATGAGAGGTGATGGCCTCAAGTTCCTTCAGGGGAAGCTCAGGTTGGATATTAGGAACGATTTCTTCTCCCCAAGAGTGGTGAGGCAGTGGAACAGGCTGCCCAGGGAGGCAGTGGGGTCACCATCCCTGGAGATGTTTATGGAGATGTGGCCCTTGGGGACACGGTCAGTGGGCATGGCAGGGGTAGGGTGGGATTGGGTGACCTTAGAGGACCTTAGAGGTCTTTTGCAGTGATTCTATGATCCTATGATTTCACACTAAGCTAAGAGGGGTGATGAGAGCCTTGCAGTTTACACTCACAGCACTGGGTAGGTTCAAATAGGACATAGTGGACGTGCACTGATGCAGGCAGACAGTTGTAACTCACATTTCCAACCAGCCCCAGACTGGTTGGTTTCAACACCCATAGCTGCTCAGATGTGAGACTGCCAGGCTCAGGATGACACCCCCTGCCCTGCATCCCCAACTGCACCGTGGTTCTGCTCAGAGGAGAGGGAAGCTCAACTTCTTGTTATTATTCCACTGACAGGAGGAGGCCCATGAAGCTGTTATAATCTATTCTCTCAGATTAATTTCCCTTGGCAAATTAATTATTAAAAAAAAAAAAAAAAAAAAAAGTGTAGAGAAAATATGAGATGATGCTACTTTCTTCTCTTTAAAGGCTTTATTTGTAGGCGACATTCTGTACAAAACAAAGTTAACTGTACATTTTGCACAAGGGCAATATTCCTGACACTTTACCAAAATAGCACTTCTGCTCAGATTTACAATAGGTGATGTCTGTTGTAAGCTAAGGCGTCAGGTCTCAGCAGAGGGTGAGAGGGTGTGTTTTTCATAGCACAGAAGGGAAGAGGATGATTTTAAGATATACACAGAGGCCCAGTGCCAGTGTCTTGTACTGCGCTATTCGCAAACAGTTGCTTTGTTCGCCTCAGGAAGTCACGTTCATCGGGCAGTGAAAATGAAATCGGGAAACAATGAGAAGGAAAACATAATCAACAAGCTAGATGTAGGCTCCTACAACAGGATATGCTTCTGCACAGGTCTGTGCAAAGGTTTCTGCATCGCTGCATAACGTTTTGTATTGGTTTGTCTGATCATTCGATTCCAAAAGATATGTGATGCCTGAAGGCAAATTGCTTCGTGTCTTTTATCATCAAATTAAAATAGGTGAGCTTTTTCTCGATGCAGAAATAGACAGAGGTTCGGTTGGTTGCTTTTCTGCTGAAGAGGTAGATCTAAGTGAGTATTTTCATTGCCTCTTTATTGAAGGAAGCCACAGGAAACCTCAAGAGCAAAGCTGGTGGCAGCAGCTTAGCGATGCAGTGCTCCAGTTTGGTGGGATTGCCCTGCAGAGGCAATGCTTCAGTAATGTGGTCCAAGTGCTGTACTTCTTGGCACAGGTGAATCTTGAGTTAGTTCAATTTTAAACAGATGGCAGACAATGGACTTTACAGAAAAATGTGTGTAGAAGTAATTACAGATAATGAGCAAGGAAGACCTGGCTCAATGGGATTCTGTTATAATAAAATTTAAGGTTCAATTAATCTATTCTTTGTAATCAGTAAGAATGCAGCCTTAAAGGCTTTGCAGGCTGTTTTAAAAAGAGGATCAGAGTACAGGGCTCCCTCCCACCCTCATTAATCTTTCAAGATAAACCATAAAACATTATCAGTTTCCAAGCCTTATTCATTAATCTTCAACTCTTTCTTAAAACCTGAAAAATTATTACATCTTGAGGGATGGAGTTCATCTGAGGCAATCCCCTTGGGCTCCATCTATACTCAGTTTATAATCCTCCAGTCAGGAGCACATTTCTTCTTGTCCATAAGAAAAGATAAATCACACCCTACTCTGAAGGGAGCCCAGAGCAAGAGCTCCTCATCATCACATATCTGCGTTGGAGACGTCCATATTCCAGTCAGATGAAATCAGGGCAGTAACACAGCAGCTCCCTTCCTTCCCATAGGAACACTTCCAGAAAGGAGGATTTTTGGTACACCTAGTTCCAAAAATCTTCCATTGTTTTTCATCTCTTCACTATTTTCTGTCCAAATGCATTCTGAGAAATCTTATTTTACGATCTTGCTGCCCTCTTGGATTGTTTGCTCCATTGAGCACAGGGGGACTGTAGTTGATAGGAAAATTCAAGACAAAAAGGTGTTTAATTCAAGCTGGTAGCCTGGCTGACTCCAAGGTCCAAGCCATGGCAAACTGGGATCTTTGAATGTTTGGGATCCAGAAAATGGAGATCTTAAAGGTCAGCTGAGGTGTGCATCATAAAGGCAGCCTTGAGTCCACCTGCAGCTGGCTGTGCAAACATCCCCCTACGTACAGTGAAACGTAGGGAGCTGGCAAAGGTCACGTAGTGTGCCCACAGGGAATTGGGAATGGGCTCAGATCTGATGCTCTCCATGATGCTAAGGCTGAAAGGGAGATATTCATCTCACCAAGTTCACAGAAAGAAGTTTGCCTATCTGACCTAAAACAAACAAATTACATTATACAGCATCACATAAAATGAAAACGACCGCAGCGCTGTGATATTTTAACACGTGTAGACAGTTTGATGAGTGCAGGAAGCAAAGCAGGGCCTGGTGCTTACTCACAGACTATCTCATGTTTTCTGGTAGCATGCACAGGTTGGTTTCCAAATCTAGCTCACGTGCCCTGAGATTTGTATCTGCAGAGGCAGCTTGGTATCTGCCAGCTACACGGAGTAGAACACTGAATTTCTGATGGAAATTGATTTTGAAAACAGCAAGTGGTTCATTTGGGCTCAGAGAGGTTTGCATACTGAGCAGTAAGAGAGTGCTGTGATAAAATTAAAAGTCTGTTATGAAACTCCCATGATGTTTGCACTCCCAAAAAGATAAAAATAATTCTAGAAACACTGTTTCTCTGCAACTTGTCCATTAGCAATTAATATTTTCCAAAGCCACTTCTTCCAATCTTCAGTACAGTAACTTGTTCCAATTTTGGTAAATTTTTGCCAAAATATGTCACTTAAAAAGTTCATTTCAGAATACAAACTGCTGTTCTGGTACCTCGTGGTACATCTCCACTGTACACCATTTTCCCACACGGACTTTATTTAATCATGAATAACAGTAAATATCACAGACAAATGCCCTTCACATTTCCCATCTAACATCACTTCTGTTTTCTTGCAATGATGAAGCAGCAAATCACAGAACTTATTGGCCACTTTGGTGTAAATAAAGCCTAGTAAGTAAACTGTAGCCCACATGGTTACCAGTAGGTTCAGCCTTAGATTTGGACTTAGTAATATATGGCAATGAAGTGAATATTTATTTCTTGGATGATGTTTCATCCTGGCACTGGAGTGTTGCAGGTGAAGAACGAGGCAGTACAGGAAGGCAAAACAGGGACAGAAATAGCAGCTCGGCTCCTTTCATCAGATTTTTGGGAACAATTGCAGGATACAGAGATGATCCAGAAAGGGACCTCGAGGGGACATAGGCAACTCCACTGCTTTACCCGTAACCGTCACTGGACATTGGAGACTCTCAGTCTACACATTGAAACTGTACATTAAAGGCATCAACAAAGAATTTATCTAAGTGTTGTTTGCATTATAAGCAAGATATCCAAAGCGTGAGGCGAACAAGGTGACGCTCTTCCAGCTTGCACACAGCCATGTCATTCTTCCTCACCATGAGTGGCACAGAACTCCTGCCCTATTTCCTGTATTGGTGGGAATAGGAATGTGCTAATTCTGTCATTTCCTTTTTTTTTCTTGCAAATAAAGTGCAGGTCGGGTCAGTCACAAGATTGGTTCAGTGCCATTCCAGTCAATAACAGCTCCTTGCCACCTAGAAATAAAAGCAACCATTTTACATCCGTGAGTTTATCAGGTTGTTGGAAAGGTCAGCTCAGCACTCTCAACCACCCAGCCACTCCTACAGAGTGTAGGATGGACTCAGTTAGGGTAACTTACCACAACTTCTCCAATGAAAAGGAAGCAAAATGAAGTATTTGCGCTCCTAATTTTAGGGTCCCACATTTGGAGATCGTTTTCCTTATGCTTCACACAGCCTCCTCCAGGCAATAGAGTTCTCAGCAGCAGCTGATTCAGAACAAGAGCATTGGCTCTGCAAAGACCATGGGCAATTTCCAAGATGGGTAAGAGAATTACCCGTGTGTAGCCCAAATGAGACCAAATAACTTCATTAGCAGCTATCCTCGCTCTTGCCCTTGGCTCCTTTGAAATATTCACTGGCTCACCCTAAAGGTAATCTTTTGCTTTTTCTATGGGGAGGCTTTGTTTTTTCTCTGTCTTACCCTTTCTTCAGAATAACATTAAAGATACATACTGAAAAAAAAACTTGTATATGCACAAAATTTTCCACCTTCTGAATTTCTGGCCGTGTATTGGCCACTATTGCTCAGCTGCCCACTCCAGGAACATCAAACCTGCACTTGTTGCCAGTTGGCTCCCCAGTGGCTTCACCAGGTTGAAATGGGTCAACTCTTCCTACCACCAGAGTCATTCATTAGGTGCCTGGCATCCTTGTCCATGCCAATTTTTCAAATTCATGGTCCAGATCTTCTAAGCATGGAACTCCTGTCAAATACATAGATCTGACATAGATCTGGTGGGGACAACGTTGACTTGCCAGACTGCAAGCCACATTCAGTCTGTCACGGAGGAAAGGATACGTCAGCACAAATATAACAGCTCAGTCCTTTCGCTGAGCAAGTCAGTTACATGTAAAACAAATCCAAAATCTGAATCCCTGTCATTCAGTGCAGGGTCTCAAGGGAAGTGACCACCTGCGGGACTTTTTTCAACCATCCCCAATGAAAGCACAAGTAAACAAGTGTGGAAAATCGGGGCTGCGGATTTGTTTCCTTCCTTTTTTTTTTTTTTTTTTTTTTGATTTTGCCAAGAAAATTAAAAGAAAAATATTGCAGGATGGGTGCCATCCTCCCAGGGTTTAACAGGAATACACAGGACTGATGCCTCACGCATTGAGCTGATGGCAGAATGTGTCCTTGCTGGGAATAGCTGACCTAGCCTAGCATTTGTCAGGGCAGACAGATGCCTCTGCCAGAGGTTCATGTTTCCCCAGAAAAAAACCCAAACACAAATGGGAAGAACAGTTGCCACCTTCTGATCCCATTGGATAGTTCTGGGAACACCATCAGCTCTTCCTTTATCTTTGCATATAAATTCTACCTCTCCGAGGCGATTCCAGCATCAAGAGGGATCTACAGAAGCCACATGACACAAATTTCATCTGCTCTGAGGTTACTCGGTGAAAATATTAATGCTCTGACACCATTTTTAAGTTTCTGGCTTAAAATATGGCTAATCACTATGCGGTGCAGAACTGGCCTTTTTTGAAACAAGCTTTCAATAAAGAGCTTAACCAGCACAGCGTATTCTGAAGCAGGACTCTGTGTAACTTTCCCTACAAGTCTTATCTCCTCTATTTATTTTCCAGCTATTTTTCGTGAGCTATCTGTAGAATGAAAAGCAATTTGCCAATTTGCTCATGCAGAGACAGCTTTGAAACTTTCTTACCCACTGCATCTGCACAAGAAAAGGTGTCAGATAGTGAGAACCTCTTTCACAGGTGCTGAACTGGTCATTTCTTAATGAAAAAAACACGATCCAAAAAATTCAGAGCTCTCATTTCTCCAACTGATTCACCGCAGTGTAACCTAAATGGAACTCAGATGGAATTACAATTTATCAGATTAGCAGTATGGAAACAACACTGGTCTCATGTGGTTTGACTACGACCTCATTTGAGGGTCATGGAAGTTAAATGGAGCAGTTCCACTGAAGCTTGGAAGAACTGGTTCGAGCCCTGAGCAATGCTCCCTCTGGAGTAACTTTCAGAGAATATCTCTTGCATTGATCATCTGGCACCAATAATTTAGGATTAAGTGCCCACCCTTTCTATTTATCTATCATATTTCTACCAAATGTCTCACTTTGAAGGAACACTGTGCCACACCGTTCCAGAACCACAAAGGAAAGCTGAATGTCGTGGGCTAACAAAATCTAAAACTAGATTCACATTATAATATCAGATCAAAGTTTTCTTCCCCTTAGGTAGAGCTAACAGATGTTACCTGCAGGTGTTCAAGGTGTTCAAGGTTGGATGGGGCCCTGGGCAGCCTGGGCTGCTGTGCAATGGGGAGGTTGGTGGCCCTGCATTGGTGGGGGGTTGGAGCTTCGTGATCCTTGAGGTCCCTTCCAACCCAGCCATTCTGTGATTCTATGATTCTATTAGCACCAGCCCAGAGAGATGCTGAGGATGATGACTGTGAAATGAGAGTATTCTTCAGGGGAAAATGGGATCAGGCATCTGCATGGCATCTCCCAGAAACTCCCCCAGGGTTGCCCATTACAGACGTCTGTTGATACAAACCTGACTACTTCTATGGATGTCTTAGGCTGAAAACCCCAACACAAGTTGCACAACAGTGACTCTTCAGCTGGGAGTCTGCAGCTTAAATCGATCCCAGCTGAAGACTATTTGTCCTAGTCATGCAAAGGGTTAACTGCTTTAAACTCAAGCCCTCCTTTTCTGACATTTTGCAAAAATAGGGAATAAAAGCATAAGCCTCCTCCTGCAGAAGCAAAACAACTCCTCTGTTAATAATAATGAAAAAGCTAAAAACAGAGACTATCTATTACAGATGCAGATCTTTCCATTGGCAGATGGTAAGAGAACAAACAGCAGACAGATGGCCACCATAGGACTCAACACCCTGCAGGGTGCTGATGTTCAGGTATGGGGCAACCCTCTGGTAAGAGTTCCTATGGACTGAAACAGCACTAAGTCGTGCAAATGAAAAGAAAAACCCCTAATGGAAATTTGGAAACAATGGTCGATTCAGTTCTATTCTGTTACACTATTAAATTGTCCACCCTGAGAAACTACTCCACTTTTTTTGATGAGAAAGATCTGATAATGAGCTTTATTGCTGTAATGCTAGGTGAAAAAGGAGTAGCAGCCCTGTTAGTTTGTTTGCTTGCTTGTTTGTTTGTTTGGCTTGCTTCAGTAACAATTATTTTATCGGTGTTTTCCACAGTTGTATGATACTAAATATCTGTTTTTGTATCTCTCAATTTGTTAAACACTCGTTGGTTTGTTTTGTTTTTACTTTTCTCCATATACTGTTTATAGAGTTGGAGAAAAATTTCTTCTAGCAAAAAGGAATAACATGGCATGAAGGACCTTTAGCAGCAAGGCCACGCTTGAATAAATATGTTCAAAGCAATTGGAGAATACAGAAAACAAGGAGAGAGACTGATCGGGGTAAATCAGATCGTCCCAGGAATGGTACAAACACAATTAATTGACACTGGAATTTGGTGGTAATTTACTTCCACAACAGATTAAAGTAAGGAATTTAGAATAAACAAACATCACCATTACCAAAGCTTTGTGTAACTTTGATGCAACGCCAGGAATTGAAGACATTTTAAGAGTGACTTTAAATAGTTGCATGCAGTGTTCTCCCCACTCTGTGGGTTTCTGAGGCTAAGGATTATCTGTCTTTGTTTGCAGTCATGCTGATGTTTCCCTTGAACAGTAGAATCCATACAACCTATATGTGCAGGGAGCCTGAACCAACGGTGCTGTCACGCTGAAGGATGCCTCATTTGTTTCCTGTAACTCCATAAAGCCAGCCCTGCAGGAACACACTGGTTGGCAGCCACTGTCCTTATTTGTTTTGCCTTTTTTTTTTTTCTTAGCAGGAAAAAAAAAATGTGGCAGAGAAAGGAGGGAAATGACAAGGGAAATCTGAAGCTGCAGTGCTGTTACGGGCCTTGACAATGAGGCTTTTAATTCTCGCTCCAGAGATACTCAGATAGCAGCTTTCCAAGTCCTGCTGAAGGAGTGATATAAAGCTGATACTTTCAGCCTGATTTTGCTTCTTCCATAACTCAGTAAATTGAAAATGTTCTCGTTAACTTCATCACAATTTGGATAAATTATTTAAAAGTCCATCATTTCATATCATGTTTGCCTGGAGAAGTCAGTGCTTCCATGGACAGTTTGAGAGAACTGAGACCACTGAGGTCTTTAGGTATCGAAGGTGGTACCCAAGTGCTTCTGTGCTTTGGTATTTTTCAGAAAAGACTGATAGAGATGGAAGAGAATTTCTTCTTTTCTCATTATACCTCTACAGTAGGAACCAATGAATCCACATTTTGATCTTTTGAAATCAAGTTGAGCTCTCAAATTATGGCTCAGTCAGCTTCTGGTGACAGAATGACAGTTCCTCTAAGAGTGAAACAAATGCCTTGGACAATTTGATGCACAATGGGGAGTGATCTTTTCTAACTCTTTAACCAGTAATTCTGCAAGAATAACTGCCACAATATTAACTTTTTAGCCACACTCAAGCTTTACGTATATTATTTACATAATTCTGTAAAAATATTTGCATGTTAAATGCCATTTTCACTTACTTTGTCCTAATGCAGTGCTCAAGTGGAGGAGTAAGATCGTTTTCTTTATCTTCCGTGCACATCTGAGTCGTGTCTAAAAACACATACCAGACATAATTAGAGGCTGAGCTATATATCTATTAATTTCTGCACTGCAGTGGTTTCTAGGAAGTCCACCCATGGATGTGACAGCATAGACAAGAATCCCTGCTACTCACACTGTAAACCTCATAGCATTTCAACTCCTGGTCTATTGCCTATTCCTGTGGTGGCTGCTCAAAGGATGAAAGGAGGTGACTACATGTAAGCTTGCTGTTGGGAACAATCCCTAAGTTGGGCCCAGTGTCAGCTGATTTGTCTAGAATCTTGCCCAGAATTGTACTGACTACTTAGCAATAAGGATAACTGTGGGACGGTGTTTGGACCATGACCTGACCCAGGTTACCTGATCAATACAGAGATGGTCCCAAGGAAAACTAGAAGGCCAGAAGGTGAAAGGATGTGCTGGAGGGCTACTGTGAAGATCTATTTTGCAGTCAATGAATGGATTATTAAGAAAGCAGTTTAATCACACACTGAGGACAGTAATAGTCCTACACGTGAATAACAAATCCCAAGTCCAGCCAAAAGTAAATTAACATTCCTTCGCCCCTGAAAGGAAAACTGTCCCTTCACTGTGGAAAGAGTGCACAGATGGGAGAAGACAGCGTTGTGTGAGATGGAAGAGAGCTACCACAGTCTCTGAGCATTCCTTTGGGATGGAGAGGCAATTGCATTGTTCCGGGGAAAACAGAGAGGTCAGTGTCTCAGAGCCTGGATCTGTCAACAGTGAAAGTAGTTGCTGAATTTCCCAGGGAGAAAACATCCTGCAGCCAGCTTGGATGTCAGTCTGCTCAGCTGTTTCCTGTTTTGGAGTAAAACATCTTAAACTGCTGTACACTGGAGCTGGTTTTTGGCAGTTTTCTTTCAGCCCACGGGAATGTTGTGAGCAACTGATGGTACCAAGCCAGGGTGCAGGATATGGAGCTGACGCAGTGAGACTGATGGAGACAGGATGGGAGGCAAATGCTCCTGTATTCACTGCTGCCCGTCTCAGCTATATCTGACTTCCTCCTGTCAGTACAAATGCCTGCAGAATGCTGTGAGCCACTGCAGGGGCAGAGTAACAGAAAACAGTCAACATTTAAAATTACTTGAAGTAGTGGCAGTTTTATCCTGGAACCTCAGGAACTGAAGGGATACACTGGAATCTTTCAATACTCAATGGCCCTCTCTCATCTTAATATTTAAGAGTTTATAAGAGTTTGTTACAGGTCTCCAATAGCACATCACAGAATCATAGAATAGCTTGGGTTGGAAGGGACCCCAAGGATCACGAAGCTCCAACCCCCCACCAATGCAGGGCCACCAACCTCCCCATTGCACAGCAGCCCAGGCTGCCCAGGGCCCCATCCAACCTGGCCTCCAACACCTCCAGGGATGGAAGGGGCATCACAGCCTCTCTGGGCAGCTGTTCCAGCCCCTCACCACTCTCAGAGCAAAGAACACCTCTTTCTCTCAGGTATTCAAGAGGCACTCAGACCTTTTACTAAGGGGCATGGATCAGTGGGGAAATATTGGTGGTAGGTGGGTGGTTGGACTGGGTGATCTCAGAGGTTTTTACCAACCTTGGTGGTTCTATGATCCCTATGAATAGTGTTTGTGCACTCCAGGAATTCCTGACACGGACATTTAGGATCTGAGGATCCCTTACAGAGAAGCAGCATTTGCTGTCCTAATCACAAAATCAGCAAAAAATAGGCATCCAGCACAGCTGCCTTTCATAGTCTCTGCCAACTTGCAAAGTTTTCTCAGTTTTAGACTTGAGTTCTTCCAACTGGATTTTGAACTGCTGTTTTTCAAAGAAAGGAATATAAAAGTATCACTAAAAGTATACCTTACCAAATCAGGCAGAGAGCATTTAGCTAAGTTATTCAACTAATGACTGCATTAAAATGTTTCACATAACTCATTTGGGAGCAAAGAGCCTCAGTGTTAAACTTTTCCACCCAGGAGTCACCAAGAGCAAGAAGGACCTGATCTACCTATCTGATCATCATTTATACTTACACCTAAGCTAAAGATGATGAGAAACTGAGCGTCAGATGAGTTACAAACTTGTTATTCAAGAGATACGTGAGGACAGGTTCAAGAGAGTGGAACTGGAACAGACAAGACATGATGCTCATTATTTAAATGGCCACCTTAGGAAGTGATGTTTTATTAATTGCTTTTCCAGAAGACTTTTGCACGTTGGACCAATCTCACCTTAACTTTGGAGACAATATATTGTGAATGTTGACATAGGTATTAATGGTGAATATTAGAAAACAGTAGTATTTCTCCAAGCAGAACAAGAAGCTCTTTCATACAAGAGCTCTGCGTGACCTGTAACAACAATCTCACTGAGTCCCTAAACAACTGACAAAAGCACATGAGCAATTAATTTAGATCCACTGGCTTGTTTTCTCTCTATGACTATCAGAAAATTCTACCAAATGGAAAGAACTGATGAACCTTTATTTAGGATTGAGTGTTGAACTCACTAGTAGCTGCAGCCTGCTTTTAGGAAGGAACTTCATATTTCTTGTCAATGTTTTGCAAAGGGGTAATCAGTGTGAGAAGCAGGGCAAAGTCTCAATCCCATGTAATACTGATGGTGATTTAATGCAAAACAGTATTTGCTGTTAACCCCAAAATTAATTCTGCTCCTACTTTCTGGCTTCTATGCAATTCTTGCCCAGTATGATTTCTTCAGGATTTTCTAAATGTGATCTTGATTGTAATCTTCATAACTGTATGTAAGATCTACATTTCAAGGAATTCCCTTTATTGCTAACGAGAAGCAAACAACCTCCCAAACTCAGATCTGTGAGATGTGGCTGTGCAACATCCAGGACTTCATGCTATACCTCTGCATAATGCTGCCTTATCATCACAGCTTGTTGATATTTCCATGGTGGAAATACCAGTCATACTTGCCATTATGGTATTTCTACCTGGTACTGCATGCATAGCTTAGATTTATGTTCAGTGTCACCTTTAAGAAGTAAAACAACTCCAGGTTTTCTCCAGACCAAGTGCAGGATTACTGCACTGCCAGAGCTGCAAAAGCCTTTGCCTGGAATGATGAAACTATTTGCAGTTTACAGCCTTCTGCAGAATGTCACAGATAACAAAAGAAGAGGCTGGATCCATGGAAGGGGCTACGGCTGCAACAAAAAGACATCTACCTCTCAGTGCAAGTCTCATCTTTGAGGAGAAATAGACAATTCTGCTTCTGAACACTTTCTCTTCCAGGGCTCTCAGAGTGTTGGGTACATTTGGAGTTTGGAGATGTCTCTGATTTATCAAAGAGAAGGATGCCTGTTTTGGACCGTATGATGCACAGTGCAGCAGAATACAACGAACACATCTCCATCTCCCATTCCTTTTCAGAATCCTCTGTATCAAAGAAATTAGGAAAGAAGGAAAGAAGGAAAGAAGGAAAGAAGGAAAGAAGGAAAGAAGGAAAGAAGGAAAGAAGGAAAGAAGAAGGAAAGAAGGAAAGAAGGAAAGAAAGAAGGAAAGAAGGAAAGAAGGAAAGAAGGAAAGAAAGAAGGAAAGAAGGAAAGAAGGAAAGAATCCTTCTACCTGAAAGAGAAATCCTCTGCTTACGGTCACGAGCATGTAGCAATTCCCTCGGACCGTCTGAAAACAGCAAGCCTAGGGACACATCCACAGACTAAAATCAAAAGAGATTACTTCTTTTATATGGACAACATATAACAGCCAAATAAATAAATCACGGAAAACATTCGGCCTAAAAAGGCTGAATAAAAAAAGTATTAGCCTATGAAAATAGTGAGATTGTTGGTAATGGTTATTGTTTTGATGATAACTTGTTAATGTTTACAATATGTTGTCTCCAAGTGAAGATATAGGGATTTTTTTGTACAATCTGTTTTAATAAATCTTCCTGTATCTGGGACAGACTGTGTGGGAACCATTTTGCAGCAACGTGCTGTGGAGGTTGAGAAATTTGCAGAAATAACATATAATGCAATGGCTACAATTGAAAGTCAAGGACTTTAATCAAAATAAGAGGAAAGAAAGGCTACAGCATTCACTACCAAACCTTATGAGATATTAAAGGCCTCCAGAGCCACCATCATACCAACTGCTTTGCCACAGGGCCTTAATTAGAATATGCAGCCCTTGTGTGTAACTCATCCTGTCCAAGAATCACAATGTCAGTGCAAACAAGGAACACCAACAGGCTGCTTTTAAGAGAGGACTTCAGCAGAGTGTCTCCTTCAGATAAAGATGGAGTTTGATTAGGTTGTATACATGCAGCGATGGATGGAAAGCAAAGGACAAGGAGGCTATCATAAGCAAATATGAATTTAGTGCTCAAGAATATCTTAATATGGAAATGAAGCCTTTTTAGCATCAGAATACTGCTTGTCCAACTGTCTTCCAGTTCAAGAAGCACAACTTCTGTAAAAGCAACCCCATAAGTTGACATGGTTTCCTGAAAGAATGTGTTTAACAAGTCAGATCTTTCACATTCTCGTATTTCCAAGCGTGCTCACAAGCAGGTCTGTCCTTGCTAGATGTTATGGCCATCTTCTGAAGCAGCTGGATTTGGAAGCAAGGATTCAATCCTTGCTCACCTGCTCTGCTCACACTACCATGTGTGTAGTGCTGAGGAACAGAGGGTTTGCACTTTCTGCCTGCAGAAAACACATAGCAACAGCTGGAGGAAAATGCCCTTCCGAGGGCTTGTCCTCCTGACTGCCTTGAGAAATCTACCTCCAAATGAAACATCAAGACTAATTCTGGAAATCAGAAAACAGGCTCACAAATGCTCTCGTAATGCCAGATACCATCATCAATTTGTTCACTTTTCATGCAATTTTGGATGCTTCTTTTCGAAGTCACCACCGCAAGGGATGAGATGCAGTCACTGCACTGTACGTACCAACTGTTAATCGTATTTCTTCTTCTTGGTTGGCCAAGCCATCGTAATAATAGAGATCAAACCTCCGCTCGGTTTTCCAGTCTCCTTGTAAATCCTTTTCCAGACAAAAAAGCACACTGAAGTGGCTTTCACTGCATACCAACCAAATTGGGTATTTAGGAGTCTTCAGGTAACAACCGACCTAAAAGAAAGATTCAGAAGATTACAGACCAGGAAAGACCTGGTAAGTCATTTAGAGGTTCAAAGCAAGTATCTGGCCTTGATTATAGGTGACAAAATCCAGCTGTAGTACCCTTACAGCAAACAAGATCACATCCCAAATGATCAGAATAAGAAGAAACTGTCCTCTGAAATAGCTGTAAGACTCATCTCTATCACTCCTAATGGGATTTATGTTTTAAGGCAGACATACGTATATATGCTTGAATACCTACAGGGATGCATCTATTGCTCTGAAACACGGTGGATGCTGATATAAAAAGAGTCAGGGAGATTTCTGCCTCCCCTGAAGTCAGTCAGTAAAATGTAGTATTTTCTTCACATGACACTACTGAGTTCTGAGATAGCTACCGCTTTCCTTTGCGTGCCACTGTCTTAATCCATGACAGAATCACTGCCATGCTGGTTGTTGTGTACAACCATCTTTATTCCACCTGAAGTTTTGTGTTTTATCTCCTAAACAGACGTGGCACTGTTGGGATGGATGTAGATCTGCAACTCAAGGGATGGCAGCCAAGCGTCCAAGTGTACATGCAGGAAAATGCAACATCAGTTTCTGCCTCTGTAATACAGGTCATGCAGTACAGCACTAAAAAGCAGAAGCCAATAAATATGCAGTTGCAATGAAAAGCCTAAAGAGCATTCTAAGGCATAAGGAACATATCCTTCTTATTATTAAGATTTAGAACTTAAATCTGAAGTGTTACAAAATTATCTTCCCAAATGATAATTTCTTCTGATGCCGGATAACAGTTACTCACTACTTAAGTAACTCCTGCCTGATTCATTGCTCTGTCAGTATCTATTTAAAACAGGCTTTTATGCAACAGTTTTGTTTTTTAATTCTTGGCTTCCATGTACTGCATTTTTTTACAAGCTTACAAAAACACTCATAACACAAGTTATCAAGAAGGGAAATACACAGATGCAACAAAAGATGGCAAATTAGAGGGCAATGGATGAAAAGATTCAGTTGCACAAACATCCACATTCTATTATCCTGATAAATCAAAGCCAAAAGGGAACAGTCACTCTTCTCTTAAAAAAATAACATGTTTTCTTCCCATATATGTCTGCTAAAGTAACTTGTAAGCTTCATCAAACAACGTTCGACAAAAAAGGATTAGAGAGATACAGGACTGTTTCCAAGCAGACGTCCACCCCAACTCTTACTCACATGAACAATCCCACTGAAGTCAGGACAAGCTGTTCAGATGAGTAAGGTCTTGCAGGAACACTTTCCAAATATGCACAGTTTTCAATCACAACGCTAGCAGAAGAAGGCAAGGCCCTCAACTTGAAAGCAACAATGGGAATATCAAAATGTTGCATGTCAAACCTCATTTCCCATAAGAAACGAGAAGTCTCCATTTCAGTTGCATTGCTTTCACTCTGAACTTTTAGCTCAGAATCAGATGCTGCTTTTAACATCACACTGTGTGCCAGCAGTGGCCAGTGCCTCCTGATGTGCTTCTCCCCCACACCTCTACCACTTTGTTTTACTGCCATCAGCTTCTGGGGGCCTCCAGCTAAGTCAAGCTATTCCTACTCCAGTAGAGAAAACAAGTTCAGGTTTTGTTCACAGCCTTAAGTCCACTCGGCACAGAATGGTTTGTATACACATGGCTATAAGCAGCATCCCTATCCTACAGCATTCCTCAAGCTACATGGGTATTTCTTTCTACAAAAAGTAATACAATGAAATTGAGCACCATGCTTCCAAACTTTCAGAAAATACATACAACCACGGATTCACAACCATTTGTTCTCAGATCCACGCCTTGATCTTGGTTAGTTTTGCATCCAGACATGGCCTGCAGCAATCCCAGACATCACTGCAGTGGTCCACCCAGCAGCTGGCTACTTCAATCTGTTTCTAATCTCACTTCCAATTTAACTGTACAGAAAATTCAGTTCTGAGATGACTTTTCTTCCCATACAACAGTGTGCTGAGTAGAACTGTAAGATTTAATGAGCAAAGACTCCATAGTGAAGTCTAATAACAGCCCGAATCCAAGGAATTACATCCTTCAAACACATTTACTCCCTTCTCTTATTGCCTTTTATCTCCTGACGTGCATCTGCCACGCAGAAACAAACACCCAAGCCCAACCACTAACAGTGTCACATGTTCCCTTTGCTCTATCTAAACACTCCCATGCCTCTTCATCCTTCCTCATACAAGTATGTGCCATGTTTTCTGCAGGCTCTCCTTGGCCTTTTGACAACTACAGACATCTTCTATCAGTTCCCCATCACACGAGGTCTCTGTTACATCAGCAAAATAGTTCAAACAAAACTCAGAAAAATACACAATAAACTGAGAAACAGCCCATGAACTCCAGACAGGTGGGAGTAGTCTTCCTTAAACATACCTCCATTTAATGAGGTGATAAGTAAATTATACATGTCCTGTAGTCTTTGATACATGCACATAGTGATCATGCTGTGCAGCAACATTGCACTTACGTTTATGAGCATCAGGGTGGACAAAGCAGCCCCCCACCCTCACTGTGAGGATTCTCTTGCCTACTTTTTCAAGCATCACTTGCTGAGTGGGCGAAAAGAACGTCTCCATTTAACTGGCCCACCTGCTCAGTGGTGAGTGCTTCTTCAGTTGCCTGGCCAGGTTGTTGGGTGATAACAAACCTGGAGTGTAACAGGAGCTTGACACAGGACACTGAAGAACGAGTATCTCGTGATCTGAATCAAAACCACTTAAGCTGACTTGAAGCATGCACCTTCCAGCAAGTGCCCTACAAATGCACTGGCAGCACTGATTTCCAAAGGCAAATCAGGAGTACATGGCATGAATCTGTTTAATCAAATATCATTACTTTCATCAAGGGCTCATCGGCTGTCTTATAGTTTGAAGAACAGTAGAAGCTTCTTGTAGTATCACAATGCATTACAGAATAATAGTGCATTACTATTCAATATTTATTTTCAAGCTTGCTCATTAATCTTTGCCAAGGCAAAAAAAATTAAGAGGGGGAATGTGTAAGATGTCTTTTTGTATTGCATGTTTCCAATTCCTAAGGAGAATTCACTGAACAGTAATCGTATCCCTTACAAATCCTGTAAGAATGCTCATAAATTTCAGAGACACAATCCTCATCTTTGGAAAATGTCAACCTTTCTAAAGCAAGCCCTTTCAGAAGGTTCATTTTCAACACCACGGGTGGTCTTTTTCCACATATGACTTCAGTGTGTATTTGCACAATGTTGAAATTAAATCACACAAATATTTACTACAGGAGAATTATTCCTATGTAGCTGCCAACATGACTGCATGGTACTGCCCCATTCAGACATGATTTCCTCACTGAGCAAGGCTTTTGTCACATGTATACCAAGTGGAACAAACAAGCAACCTATAGTTTGTTCTGACAGCTCTTTTCCCCCAGTTGCCATGGCCTCTGCTGGTTTGAATTAACATTAAACAATGTTCCAACAGTGTTCAGACAGAGAAGTCAATGATGTAAAAAGAGACACCCTTATAACAGTGCTTGGGTGATCGAGGACACAATTAACTCAGATGACCCATTCCACCACCATTAATAGAACAGCAGGTCAACCATATTACTGCTACATCTCCATTTACACTTACATGCTATCATTGCATGTTATTAAGGGACGGTGTCAAGTTTATGTTCATTAAATATGTACTTAATTTTAATTTTAGATTAAGACATAAAATTAATGTTCACAACTTCTGACATTCAGACTATGCACAATTTAGTGGCTATGCCAGGTCAGGCAGAGACTGAAGCATTTTTTTAGCCAGATATTTATTAGCAGTAGTAAGAAAAAAATACAGATACATGGGAGTCATAGATATTTTCCATAGCTTTGAGTCCTTTCTGATGGTGAATTTGGGGGAAAAAAGTACGTAACTAATGGAGAAGAACTGAAAGAGATGTGTGCTCAGTCCCAGGATGACCAAAGGAAAGAAAAGACTTGGGCAGCACTGATTTTTTTACTTAGGTCTATAAGAGAACACAGCAATTGCAGTAAGGCAAAAAGGTGCCAGGTAGCCTCAAGATTGTTCCTTTATCCTTGCCCCATTCTGTTGCTTTTCTTGTATGTCCCACCAAATAAAGTAACATTGAGGGAAAATCACCCCCTCATTCAGACTTCAGGACTTTGCCATTCCTTCAGGCCAAGTGGAGGGATTTATACTAATTTCAATCTGTTGCTTTACTAAAATGGCAAAGATAGGTCAAGATTCAGTCCACTTTAACATCCATTTGTTGGCCCCCTAATTTGGGTTGGCCTCTAGGCTTTGGCTCTCTGTAAAAATCAAGGAAGAAGAGATAAAGTTTGATGGGATCAGTGCAGACCAAAATACAGATATCTACAATATGAACAGATAGGAGGACAGTATTTGATTTAACATTTTCTGTTTTGCATTTTAACAAACGATGCAAAGTTCTTTTAAATGTGAAGTTTGTCTTACAGTCTTACATAAAATTGCTGTGATCGTTTCTTATTTGGCAGCACGTTGACAAGAAATCAATGCCAATATTTCAGCAACAGTGACTGGCTACTGAGAAAAAAGATGTCCATGAGGAGGACAATAGGACTTCATTGAAGAAAATTTCATTTCCAAGACAGAAAGAGGGATTTAAAAGAAAGGAATGAAGAATACACTCTAAATCCCTCTTTGCTTTGTCAGGTTTGCTTCAGTCAAACTGAACGTATCGCATATTTTTGCCCACAGTGGCACTCATGAATGCCTTGCATAATAGCAGTCACCTGCACAATGCATCCATTGATGTGCAACGTCTACTGCCTACCCATTACTGAAAAATAAGCAGAAAATAAAACCAACCATTGGCTTCCATTTTGCAAATGCCTACTTTTTTGATGTTTTCTTAAACAAGATGGTTAAAAAACTCTTTCTATCCCTCCCCCTCCACAACCTTACCAATGACCTGACTTGAATCCAGTCCATCTGACTGAGAGAGGCTCCTGCTTAGCAGACATACTTCCCAGCACAGGAGGTTATAGGAAGGACGTTCCACAGGGCAAATAAACAGGTGAGGTGCCAGAAGACAGACCATGTGTGCTGAATTTAATAATTCAAGTAGGTCTTGTTATAGCACAGCTTGTGCTGGTTTCATCAAAAGGACCAAAGATAATATTTCCCATATGTGGAATTTTAATGGATAAATTCTGTTCTTTTATGCTTCCTTCTCCTTCTGAAAAGACACAGGAAAAATGACTGTAATTTCTTTGTCAACACTGTTTTCTCTTCATTTTCAGAAACATGAACACTAAAAAGCAGACTCTTTCGAAATGCTGACAGCTGATGCATGGATTTGGATGCTGTCAGGAATCAGAATATGGTGAGCCTGGGAGGTCACCTATAGATAGCTGGCTTCTCTGTGATAACAGGACTGCCTAGCAGCAGGAGCAGGGAAGACCAAAAATCACAGAATATCCTGAATTACAAGGGACCCATAAGGAGCATTTAGTCCAACTCCTAGAAGAATCAGAGTCCTCATCCAAAAGAGCTGAGCAGCCTCGAATACTTACCTTAGGAGGTGTAACAGTGCATACTGTAGTGCTTTCAGAAAGCATTTCAGAAGGCCAAATCGGCCAGTGTTGTACAAACCATGAAAGCAGACATCCAGAAGAGCTGTACCTTCCTCAAGTTGAACCTCAAGCTCACTGCATGAGCCAGAGAAAAGCGCTTTGCCTTTTGCTCATCCATCACCTCCCTTGTAAAACGTTATTGCAAAGCCAAGGACTGAGCAAAAAGCAGGGACTTTCCTCCCATGTCACCTCTGCATTGGTCCTGCACACTTCTGCACCTGGCTTCTTTACCCGAGGTCTTGTCCCGCTGCAGAAACCACACAGTTCCTCAGACTATTACGGACCCGCTGCATGCCGCCAGCCAGCAGACAGAGGGAGGCCAGCCCAGGTTTAGGCAGGTTGACCAGCTTTTAAAAACGTTTCATCAATTTATAGAGCGTTAAAAAAATAGCAGAAAGCCCAAAATTTGAATGAAGTCTTCTCAGTTCAATATGTAGGATCAGGTGGAACTAAGATACGTGGCTTGAGTACAGGCTTGTCACAAAGGAAGAAATCCAAACATCTGTGACTTGCCTACAGAGAAGGAACAGTGCGGATTTTTAGCTTTTTTGCATAAAAATGTGGAATTTCACTATGAAACTAAATGTTTGCATATGAATTGCATTGAATAAATCCATCTGTCATTGTCAAAAAAAAAAATGCACAACAAGTAATTACACTACAAAGGCTAAAATGAACATGGTAATGGTAGGACTAGGAGTGATGATTGGACATGAACACTTCCAGACAAATGACATGAAGCACACGTTTTTCCCATCAGCAAAGATAACACATGCAGCATGATTCACTGAAAGAGACTGCTGGATCAGCAACAGAGGGATTCTTCAGGAATCATGGGTGAAAAAGGGACAGATCATTTTGTTCTTATTTGCTACTGTTGACATTTGACAGGATTAACTCAGTTCTCATGCCCTCACGGTGTTCTCAGCTCCAAAGATATGCCAAGAAAACTGTGGGGTATATGAATACCCCATATTTTAGACAAGAGAGATGAAATATATAAGAATATTTTCCTGTGTGGATTTACTGCCTGGAATCTTGTGTATCTCTTAATGAATGCATTGGTAAGTAGGAAGAAGTCTACAGGAGAGCAATAAAAATAAGCTCTGGACAAGATGAGCTGTTGAAAAAGCTGTTGCGACTGTTGCATCAGCTCACAAATGTCTAGCAGATGGCCATTAGTTGTTCTGGGGGAAGGCTGGATTAGAAGGAGGAAAGATAATCAGAGGAAACTAAGTAAATGGACCATCAGGTTTAACATGTGCAAGTATGTCCAAAGCACAAGCTGTATGGTAGATAACACCACAATCTCCACATACAGAGGTACAATCCTTTTTTGTGCTTCCTCATATTCTAAAGTAGACACGTGAGAAAAAAGGCAAAGTCATAATTAGATGCACTACAATCAACCAATAAGTGGCTATCTGATGGCAAGAGTTATGGAATCATAGAATCACAGAATCACAGAATCATAGAATCATAGAATCATAGAAGGGCCTGGGTTGAAAAGGACAACAACAATCATCTAGTTTCAACCCCCCCTGCTATGTGCAGGGCTACCAACCACTAGAATGAATAGGGGTTTTTTAAAGAGAGCCTGCTTTGCAACAGGACACAAAAATATCCTGCATCATCCCCTGAGAAATCGGCTGGGTTTGACCTAGAGGGAGTTTTCCAACTCTAATGTCCATGATTCACCATATATCATGCTCAGGATTTTCTTACTCCTGGGGAAAAAAAAAAAAAGATAAATTACAGTTCTTTTCCATTTCTGGTTTCAGCCATCCTCACAGCCACAATGTAATTGGAGGCTGGAGCTACTTACTGAAATACAAAGAGGAAGAAAACAGTCCACTCGAAAGACTTGCAGGCAAATTCTCTTCCCAGTTCCAACACAGCAAACTATCAGTGCCATTTGATTTCGGAAACAAGTAGGTTTGAAACAGAAAGCAGAATGTGGCCCCCTGCACCAAAGCTGTGATAGGGACTGCCCAGGCTTGAAGCTAAACTCCAGCAGGAACTGGAGTGCCCAGCCCTCAGTCAGGCCATGCAATGTGCACCCAGATGTATGAACTGCAATGCTCACAGCTGTTCTTAATAATAAGTGTGACAATTGGCATCAGATGCCTAACTGGTGTAGACTCAACAACAACAACAACAAAAAGGGAAGACAACATGTACTGGAGCTTCTGTAGCTGATTAAGAGTCTCTTGGCTTGGAAAACAGATCCCTTCTCCCAAATCCAGACGGAAGGATGGACCCTCTCCACTGTATAATTTGCAGAGCGAGTGGAAGACAGTGTCTGATTCTCTGAGCAACTTTTTATTTTGCTCTTAGATGAGAAAGAAATAGCTCTTAGCTGCACTGACCTCAATGACCATCTTGCTATTTAGAAGTCGCTTTGCTCACTGGAGAGTGGAAAAAATGCTACTGCAAACCTTTTTATTTGAGGTTTTAAGTGTTACATTCTTTACAGGAAAGGACAGCGAGCTTGAAATAGCCACTGAAGCTAATTTAATTTTACTTCAGTTTGCTCCAAATTAGTCCGAATTGGAAATGTTGAGATATGCTTTATGTACTGAATTTAAGCCTGATTATAACCTTGTAAATGATGTAAAGCATTGCATTAATTAAAAGTAAGAGGAATTAGAATTCTCAGTAGTAGGAAAATGGAACTGCTTTCAGCCATATGGGAAACACAGTGAAAATCTAACTCTGTTTTCATACACATATTTATATTAGACAAGTACAAACAGACTCTCTGCTAATCACCTTCCAATTCGTATGGAAGCACTGATGGCAAATCCAGATGGGACCATTACAGTTATCTCATCCAGCATCTAACACAGGCTTCAAAGAAAATCCCAGCATCAGACACAAGACTGTCTGTTTTAGATAGAATATGTCATTAGGAAAGATGTCCACCGTGATGATAAGATCTGCTGATGGAGAAATCAGAGAAATCCTCACGCAAGTTTTTCCAGAGGTAAATTAATGGCTGTCGCTTCTTTTAAATTTTAATCTTTCTCAGTTCATGATAAACACAATTAAAATATTAATTTCAAAAACATATTAAAGGGAACGTTCCCATTCTGTTGCCAGCTACATCCATTGTCTGTTATTATTTCTAACACAATATGACAACCTCCAGCATTCCAGCATGAATTAGATGATGCAATCAGTCTGGCTCCTAGTCACACAAACTAATGGAAAACCAACACTTAAGGTAAGCATCAGCTCCACATACAGCCTGTTATGTTTACATGACCAGAATATAAGCACCCACGTGTGAGCTGGGCACCTCAACTCCTCTGTAATCAGCAGAGATTTGGTGAATACAATCAGGGGAACAGCAGATACTGAAACAGAAATATGTTAGCCAGCAAGCTGACTGCCACTGCAAGAGATCAGCTAGAAAAACATGTAGGCACAGAACGTTTGAGATGCTCAGAGATTGCCCAAGCCATTTACAGAGGGCTGTGTGACACAGGACCTGCATCCAGAATCATAGAATCATAGAATCACAAGGTTGGAAACGACCTACAAGATCATCTAGACCAACCATCTCCTCATCACCATCGCCACCACCAGCACTAAAAGAAGTTTACCACACTTTGCCTTTGGGCATCTGGAAATTGCTCCGGAACCATCTGAGTGGGCAGCAGAATGAAGCTCATAATTTCTTACTTTCTATACTCATTCCAAGCCAATTTTAAAGTTACTAATTGCTCCCTTTTGGATAAAAATCAGAAGAATGGAAAACATACCTGGCAGACGTCATAGTGCTCAAAAAGAGACAGCAACCCAATGTCACTGCGGCTTGTGATGCCTTTCAGAATGGTGATGTTTCCATTTCCAGAATTCAGCTCTATCACATCGTTGAAAACATTGGACACAGCTTTGCCAGTCAACAGCAAGTTCACCAATTCCTGTTGGCGACGTAATTAAAATAAGCTGAGTTCTTCCAACGCGGGCGCAAAGGTGCACGTGTGTGCGTGTGAGAAATGCCATCTCCTCCCAGAGGTGAGCACCAGCTTTCTGTGGCACAGCTCTCAGAGGCACACAGCACCTCCAGGGCTCCGTGTTTCCCTTACCTGAGTGCAGTAGCCGTGGCTGCCGATCAGCCGGTTCGTGAGGACGTCGAAGTCATTGCGCACCCTGGAAAGGAACGGCGGATACTCAGACACGGTTGCTTCTTCTCATAAGATTTAATATGTCTAAATCCTGGGGAGGAAAAATACTTTTTCTCCAATAGGAATATAACTTTACATTTTGGAACATTTCTCAAAATGGCTTTTTTTTTACATAGAGTAAAAGGATAGATATCAATTAAAGCCGTAGCTAGCAGTATTTACTGAGATCTAGAACAAAGAAAGCAGCTGTATAGGAAAAGAAAAGCCATTATCACCACAAACTAGAACTTAAGCAGCTAAAAACTACTGGGCAGTTTGCCTTATACTACAAGCAAGACACAACGCTCTGAAAAATGAGTGTATTTGTCATTCCTGTCGTTAACCCTTGCGATAAACCCACACACTGAAGATGATATTATTATCTGTGCACTATATTCTCCATGAAAAGAAGAAAGAAAAAGTCTGCGGGTGTACAAATTTATAATCCTGTCACCTCGTCCCATCTTCTGCTTTCTGAAACCAAAGAGAGAACTCAGTGAAATTGCAGTACTGATCCTTAAGGAGTAGTGTCTGCCCAAACCAGTTTCTCTCTCCCATAACTGCTGGAATTATTAGATTCGTTATTGGCCAATGCTCAAAAACATGAAGATTGTAAGTGTGACCATTTTTATCATACAGATGTAATGTAATTGCAAAAATTATGCTATACATAAATAAATTTCTAATCTGGTCTGGAGAACAAACAGGCTACTAAATTCTCAGTTATGGCAAAAAAAAAAAAAAAAATATTAATTCTGTGCTTCATAAAAAAGTTATTTCTTTTGTTGATCTCAATTGCTTTCACATATCCCTATATGGGATATAAAAGTAGAAAGAATGCCTGAATGGTCATCAATTAAAACTGGTTTATTCTCCATACATACAGCCTTCCGCCTCTTGTTTGTCTTGCAAAGTCTCCTGTGCACATTAATATCCACGGTCCTTTCTAATTAGCATGATTATTTAAAAAAAAAAAAGAAAATGCGTTGCTTGCTATAAAGCAACAGTTAATTTTATCTGGTTACGCTAGAGCTAGCTTGAATTTTCCCTTCAATATTGCTATAGATGCTCTGTGAAGAAATTTGAAAAGAAGATTAAAGACAAATTTGTCTTAGCCGTCAATTCTCATTTTATTTTTAATTTTCATGATAATTTACAGGTTAGCCTCATTACAAAAATAAAGAAGTGTCACAATCATCTCTCCTGCTAGCGGGAAATCAAAGCAAAGACCTCAGAAAGTGTGTCCACGATACAGAAAATTCTCCCATGCAACACTGTGAGGAATGGATGGGGCGATAATAATCTTTGGATTTCAGCCATTTCTCAGTTTGAGAAACAGTTTCATCTTGAAAATGCCGTTGCCTCATTTGAAATGAGCAGACTATACAATATGCGTCAGCTAGGGACGATGGGACACAAGAGAAGGACAATAGGAGGAAGTTCTAATTTCATCTGTAGGTACAAACAATATGGGAGATTAGAGGTGTATCTCAGATTTTTAAGGAGAAGCACATCTGCCTTTCAAATCATCTCCGCTGATGAGGAAACAAACATCAGGCATATAGCTGGGTGATTTACATCCATTCTGAATCGTTTCAAGATGATGATTCATTCCCCCCAAAGACTTACCAACATCACTGCAGGTGTATTTGTTGTTACGACAAAAGGCATCAGCTTACCAAAAGCATAAGTGATCTTCGTGCATTGTAAAGACATCAGATAACTACAACAACGTGTTTTGTTTTCTGCTAGGCTGTGAAGAGATCCACTGATGACAAGAAAATGGGAAGCGTTTGTTCGCTCTGGTATCTTGGCTATTGGGTGCTGCTCGTTCTGTGTTGTCCCTGTGTGGAATTTTCCATCTCTAATTTCTAAATTACATTCAAAGAGAAAACTTAAACTTAAGCCATGAGACTTTTAAGTCAGCATTAGTACGTGGATCTAACTGGAGTGAGGTGGAAAAATGCTGACTGCTGGCTCCCAGTGGTGGCCTTTGCCTCAACTCATAGGACTGTAGTCTGAAACCACTCAATTAGACAGATAAAAATGCTGATTTTGAACATCTCCTGGACAAATACTTAAAAATAAATGTGTTCAAATACACTAAGGCAGTATCTTCAATAGGAATCATCAGTTCTTGAGCCAGATCTTTCATAACCAAAAAGTGGACATTGATATTTGCTGAATTTCAGATCACTCCATTAGAGCTCACATCAGTTTAACATACACAGATTAACACACTTCTCAATGGCCATGAAGACTTGGTTTCAACCTTTGCTGTGTTTCGCTTCTTGCAAAGATGCCTTCAATGGCTGAATTCTCCATTCAGCTGTGCCAGAATTCCATTTTCCAACTTTTCTAATGTCTTGACCAATGAGTGGACATATTTTTATATGCTCAAAGAACCTAACTGATATGGCAAAACTCATCTCCCTCTAATCTATTAATGTTGTACTGCTTTTTTAAAAAGATCTCTTCTTAAATTTTCTTTCCTTTTTTAAAATTGGAACGAGGTGCTTCCATAATAAGGCTTAAACCTTTTTTTCATTGCAATCAAATCTGTCTTTGGAACCACTGCCTGCTTTACAGCAAGAGAGGAAATATTGCTGTGACAGAAATCAACCAAAAACACACAGTGCTAAAAGTCTGCTTATTTTCATTGTTTTTAATGCTGGTGGCTTTAGGGTAGGAATATCTGAAAAAAAAAAAAAAAAAGGTGATTCTGTATTATTAATTTCATTTCCTCCATGGCCCTGTTTATGTTTCTGTGCTTGTCTTCAGCCTTGTAGAAACTGATGACTTGCAGTTATTAGAAGGTAATGCAATTCATTAGAGTTTCAAGTACTGGAGATGTACAGATCATCAAATCACAGAACGGCCTGAGTTGCAAAGGAGCACGATGCTCATCCAGCTCCAAGCCCTGCTGTGTGCAGGTCACCAACCAGCAGCCCAGGCTGCCCAGAGCCACATCCAGCCTGGCCTTGAATGCCTGCAGGGATGGGGCATCCACAGCCTCCTTGGGCAACCTGTGCCAGTGCCTCACCACCCTCTGGCTCAAAAACTTCCTCCTCATGTCCAACCCAAACCTCCCCTGTCTCACTTTAAAACCATACAATCATAGAATCACCAAGGTTGGAAAAGAACCTCCAAGGCCATCCAAACGTCCTCCTATCACCAGCAAGGTGGGTGACACAACCTGCTGATCTCAAGGTAACTGTGGCAATTTGTATTCATCAGAAATTTGCCTCACATTTTCAATCCATTCATCTAATTCAGAACATACAAACTATTAAAAAAACCTTCAGGAGTTTAGGGTAGATGGGAGAAAGCAGCACGGTTACAATCAGAGGATACTGTAAAGGCAGTATGAGCCTTAGCACTGATAAACTAAGTTATAGTGGTATGCTGGACTCTACTCAAGTTTTAAAAGTGCATAAATACAGATTCAAAATATAAACATTTTGAGCTCTGGATGCTACAATACAACATAACATGCGACCAATGAGCTTTAAAAAAAATAACACTGAGGTAAATAAAACATCTTAAAATGGTACATATGCATTAATTCTCAACATAGTTCCAGGAAAACCCTTGCCAAGTCTCTAAAGGAGAACATCTGAACGCTGTGTATTAAACAGAAAAGTCACAGACAGATGTGACAGCAGTACAACTCCCAGCCCATCAAAATATGCTATTTTAATGATATTTTTCCTTGATATCATTTTGATTGACAGCACCTTAAGAGCAGAACAACATGAAATGATGTAAAGCAAAAAAAAAATGGTACATTTAAGGAAGTGTTTGAAAGCCCTTCACTCCGTGGCAAAGCTGTAGTTGAAAACTGGTGACCTCACTTTGTTCATGGCAACAGACAGCTATATTAACAAACACACAATTACAAGTCTACTCCCAAAATAGAATTTGGGCTGGGAGGGAGAAAAACTCCTCTTCAAGCACAAGGATTTCAAATAATTACAATGGGGATGTGGAAAAATGACAGGATGGGCGACGGGTTTATTGTGTAAGTGTTCCTCTTTCTTTTTTTTTTTAATACTGGCACACTGCAAAGGCTATAAACGAGTGTTTAAAAAAGAAGGGAAGAGCCCCTCTGTTAAGAAAAAAAATAAAATGAAGGAGATGGCATCCGTTCTGTCTCTGTCACCTTCTTCACTTACCTGGTAATTCCACAAAGTTCTTGAAATGCAAATGTACTCAGGTAGAAATGCAGTAAGAGCCATCAGATGTGCTGATACAGGGCATTAACGCCGTATAGGAAGTGCTTGTGTTTCAGGGGGCAGATCTGATGTGAAAAGCAATGAAGCCATCAGAGCACTCAACGCTCTGCTCCATTTTCTGAAACAAATTATCTTCATCTTGAAGGTAATACGTCCTTCTGAGATGAACACATCGAGCAAAGATTTTAAACCAGGATCCTTTTTAACCACAGTGAGCTTATGTTTAGCAAATGCAGCAGGACAGTACGCAGTACAAGAGGGCACTGGCTTCAATTTGGCAAAAATATGACTGTGTTTTTATTACTGCCTTATTTTGTAGTAGAATCACACTGACTCTTTCTTTCATTTCTTTGGAGACTTTTTCAAAGACAGAATCACAGAATCACCAAGGTTGGAAAAGACTTCCAAGATCATCCAGTCCAACCATCCACTTACCACCAGCATTTGCCCGCTAAACTACGTCCTTCAGTACAACATCTAAACATTTCTGATACACTTCCCATGTGGGGAAGTGTTTCCACTCCACCACCTCCCTGGGCAGCCCATTCCAGTGCCTGGCCACTTTTTCAGAGCAGAAACTGTTCCTAATATCCAACCTGAACCTCTTCTGGCACAACTTGAGGCCATTCCCTCAAGTTTGTATTTAGGGGCACACATTATGCCCCTAAAATCAAAAGCATTCATTTCTGAACTGCTGTGATTTCCTGAAGGAAAGGGAACGGACAAGACTGGGAAGATGACAAAGCTAATA